CTTTCCTTCTGTGCATGTGTAAGAAATTGAGGCTATATTATTAATATGTTAATTACTTGGTGCTTGCATATATGTTTTGATGTTTATGATACCACAGGTAAGCTTAAAGCGCCTATGAGTTTTGCCATGAGATTGAAAATTGCTCTAGCTGCAGCCAAGGGCATTCTCTATCTACATATGGAAGCCAATCCTCCAATATTCCATCGTGATATCAAGGCCAGCAATATATTGTTGGATTCTAAATTTACTGCAAAGGTTGCCGATTTTGGACTTTCACGGCTTGCCCCCATCCCTGATCTTGAAGGAACTATACCTGTTCATGTATCCACAGTCGTTAAGGGGACTCCGGTAAGCTTGACTCTTTTTTATGACACATCTTCACAGAACATTTGAAATCAAAGACAGTTTGAAGCAAAAGATTTTTATCCAAATTCATAGATCTGTAGTACGCCACAGATATGGGGATTGAGATATCGCTAACTAATGTTTATGATCAAGTCTCGGTGATATATTATAGATCATTAAAATATTATGTACTTGTGAGAGCCCTTTTTTTTTTGTTTTTTTTTGAACAGTACTTGTGAGAGCTTGATATGCATTGTTAGGCCCATTCTTTATAGCAGTTTAAGTTTTGGGGGTACTGGTCACTTAGCATGGTATTAGAGCTTTGGTTCTAAGAGGTCCTGGTTTTAAGTTTCCCCATGTGTATTTGTTTCCCCCTTCTGTTGCCCATGTGGACTTTTTGTGTGTGGCGCGCATGCATTTGCACCCAGTTTGGTCAATATTTCTCTAAATGTGAGTGGCAGTTATACAGAAGGGAGGGTATGAGGGCTTTATGTACATTGTTGTGCTCTCCTTAACAACTTAAGCTTCTTTCGAGCCAAGTTGTTGTCTGCCACTCATCCAAAAGAATTGGACCAGTGTTACCAGAAACGCTAACATCCTAGCGATTTTAAGTTTTTGAACACACGTTCCGAAACATGATACACTTCCTTTCCAAAATGGTGAATTTAGCGATCCAAAACGGTCCCATGATTTTGTCTATGTTTTTCATTAAAAGTTCATCTTAATAGGGAAAAAGGCAAATATAATGAACTATAATCTAGATGGAATGGAGTTTTGGATTGACCAAATGTAAAACAATAGGTCATATTGTTCATAGAATTATGTTATTGCATGATTAGTTTAAAGAAAAAAATATATATAATATGGTGGATGTCAAACTAAGAATTCTACTCCTATCGTAACACATTTTAGAGCACGTGGCGTACTACGTTCCCGTTCTTATTCCTCATACCAAAATGATCTATGTTCTAGGTAACATAGATTTGGACTTAGTGTCATTTTTACTTTTTGTTGATCTCCAGTTGATACAGATTTGTAATCCCAGCTACGTATGGGTGGCTAGATGGATTCTTCTGTGAAGTCATACCAGTTCTTAAAAATCATCCACCCAGTAGAAGAAAATGTCTTTAAAAAAAAAAATCATGATCCATGCATTAATAAATGATCACTCTATCAATGGGTTGTATGTGTGCATAATCATTGTCAATTTACAATGATTCTTATGTAAATTTGAGTACAATACTACATTATCATCTATTGTAAAAAACATTTGGTTGGTGCGTTTCACATGATGCATTCTGATAATTTGATTCATGGATCTGAAAGATAAAGTAACTGTTTGGGTTGCTTTGATTCATTGAGATCAATCTTAGAGTTCAAGGAAACTGATATGTAGTTCCCAAAGTAGAAGTGTAAAAAGTGTACTGAGATTCTTTCTTTTCGGTTTCGGTAAAAATATTTTGAGACCTGTAAAAGTTGTATTGAGATTCTTTCTTTCTTTTCTGTTTTTGGTATTTTCTTTCTCTTATTGGCAGCCCAATGGTTGTTATTAGCATGACCCATCTTAAAATGAACCTTAAGAAATACAATTACCGATACGCTGATATGATAAATTTTTAAAATGTAGGACATGATGCTTAGGAGACACAAAATATATTGTTTTATAAATATCATATCTCATATATAACTATGTTGTTTAAATATAATATAATATAAAATATAAAATAACACTATTTCCTATAAATTTTTATATATAATATGCATTTATCATTGTTTCATAAGTTATTTTATTCACTTGCAATTAATTTCATCTATGTATGAGCAATGAACATGTGTCTCTTAAGTGTCCAAAGTTGTGTTTTGGTCTAAAAATATGTCCAATACATGTGAAGAAGTATTCAATGAGTGTCCGTATCAGACACCGACATGCTACCTTGTTAGAACTGAGAAGTGTTGGTGCTTCTTAAGCTGATCGTCTGGTTAAAATTGTTAATGTGTGGAACTTAATGGTAAAATGTAGTATCTGTTATGTGAAGACATTATCTAGTGTGAAACTTGAACATCATTTTGTTTGCAGGGGTACCTCGATCCAGAGTATTTTCTCACTCGTCAACTGACAGACAAAAGTGATGTTTATAGCCTCGGCGTTGTATTTCTAGAGCTCTTGACAGGAATGCATCCAATCTCGCATGGCAAAAACATTGTTCGAGAGGTAGTACCTCACCACTTCTTTGTATTGAAGGTTTAGTTTGAAAGCAGTGTATATATGAAGCCATATCATATTTTTAATGGCATGTTGGTCCCGTAAGGTGTTTTTGCCTTCTTTGTTTTTGAAAATTTATGTCAATGTTTAGTGCAGCTTTCATTTACAGCTTACGAGACAGAAATAACTTAAATAAGTTGATTATTAGAAAGTATGGGAATGGGTGTTTTTAGCTTCTGCTTATAATTATTAGCTTTTAGCAAGTTGCACACTGTTCAGATCTCTCCATCCACATTAACTTAAACCATCTATCTTCTATGTTTTTCTTCCAACTTTGGCAGGTAAACATTGCATGTCAATCTGGAATAATCTTCTCTGTCATTGATGAACGAATGGGATCCTATCCTTCTGAATGCGTGGAGAAGTTTGTAAGCTTGGCCCTCAAGTGTTCCCGAGAAGAGACAAGCGCACGACCTTCAATGGCAGAGGTGGTTCGGGAACTTGAAAGCATAGGACTTTTGATGCATGAGTCAGACAGCAAAGTAACAGAATCGTTTATTACTGACCCTGCTAAGATTGTGAGCCCTCCATCATCATCGTCTAACATGAATCATCCTTACGTATCAACAGATGTCTCTGGCAGTGACCTTGTTAGTGGAGTCATGCCTGCCATTACACCTAGATGATTTTTCTCCCAACTTCTGTATTTTAGTCCACATTTGTTCAATTTGATTTGTAAAATTCTGATAGCTCACATTTGATGTTGTTGTCATACAATAATAGTTTTGCTTACAATCCATTGTATTTCTTGAATATTTGTGTGATACCTCTGTGCTATTTGAAATGGGTTGGGCTTATGTCAAGTTCAAATTTAAACTTGAGGGACCCTGCCAACCACAAATCCCTTTTCAATGATTCAAATTGTTCATTTTGTAGGGTTTTGAGTGTATATGGTGGGGAGTAGAAATCTGTCCCACATCGGTTCACTAGGGACTCTTGACCTACCCTATAAAGTGTGTCATGTCCACAAACCTCCAAGAGGCCCTTTCTAATAAGGGATAAACAAAATTGTACATGCTCCTGTGATACCAAGCGGACAATATCTTGGTGCGTGCATTACATCGATTCACTAGGGGCTCTTAACCCACCTTATAAAGTGTGTCATGCTCACAAACCTCCAAGAGGCTTTTTCTAGTGAAGGAAAAACAAAAACGTGTGTGCCCTGTAGTACAAAGTAGACAATATCTTGGTACGTGCTCCGAGTGTGGGGTGGTCCGCACATATATACATATATCATTCATGAAAAAAATTAGGTCGATTTGATAATCATAACATTTTATTGGATCAACCTAATTTTTTTCATGAATGATATATACAGTGAGTCATACAAAATGAACGTTTCAAATCATCGAAATTGGATCCGTGATGGACTCCATAAGCCGCTCAAATTCTCTTAAATTCCTCATTGAACTTTGAGAGAAACACAACCTCATTATACTAATTCTTCATATATTTTAAGTTTGTAATAGATTTTCCCTTCATAACAGGGCTGGTTGGCCCATTTGTCAATTAGCAGATTTTAGCTATACCACATTATAAATAGGAGTAATTAAACAAATTAGCGGTGAATACAAATGCGATTTGTTTACAATTTTACATTTGATTTTCCTGAAGATTTGATGAATGAAGAACATAGGTTGAGTTTGATAGCTGTTAGTAATTATTTTCTTAAATAGTTACAAATATGACAATTTTGAAAAAAAAGAAAAGAAAAGGTATTATTGAGTTTCAACCCGTTCTAAATTGTGTGTTTAATATATAATAGTATAGATGAGATATACAAACTTTGCTGGCCAACTATTTATTTTAAATGCCTTCTCTTTAAAAACAAGTTAATGTGACAAATATAATTGAGGTGCCCACCTTAGTTTGTAAGAATTTAAGTTAACATTTTCCATTTTTGACTATGAAAATTTATTTTTTTAAAAAACTAATTAAATAAAAAAGGAATATTTTGTAGTCATATAAATTTCATGAAGAATTATTTCTTGTATAAGTGGCTTAAGAAAATATAATTTTAATTTTTAAAATGGGATTTACTAAAATAACACGATACCTAGATACAAATCAATGGTTACATTTATATGTAGGAGCAATTTGTAATATTTATATGTTAATTAACTCCAGTGAAAAATAGTTTTAAATTATTTTACTCCAACAACTAATTCTGTCTCCCTTTGCTAACCCAACCTGCTAACCATCCCATCATTATATCTCCATTAGTTTAATTCAGTAACACAAGAATATGAAAATGATTTGAAAACACTAATATTATGAACTTATAATTTTTATTCAGAATTTTATCTATAAGAATTCTGATTTGGAAAATATCATATATTGTCAAATTGTACATTGTTTTCCATTTTGATAAACTTGGAGAAAAAATGAGAACAAAAGTATAAGCCCAAAAACTTTGCCCACCAAATACTGTAATTAGTGTTACGGAAGAACATTCGCAATGGAGTGTGCGCTAGTGTAAGATGTTAGCAAAAATCGAAGAAAAAGACTTCTTGGTCGTATGAATGGTTATATTTGTGTGTGAGATAGTTGTTAAGATTAATGTCAAATGTTGAAGGAGTTGCTAATAATAGTGTCTGAATTAAGGCGAGAGAAAGGGGAAGAGACTTAGGCCTCGTTTGGGAACCCTCCTTTTTAGTTAAAAAGTCAAAAAGTTATTAAATTAGTCAAAAAGTCAACAATCCATACCAAAAAGTCAAAGATTCTCTTTTCTCTCTACTTTTTGTATATTTTTTCGAAAAAAGTCAAAAAATCATCCCAAACATAATTTTTTTAGCTCATATTTTAGCCAAATAGCCAAAAAGTTACTAAATTAGCATGTTCCCAAACGAGATCCTATTATCGATGCAAGAAACGACAAATGAAAGAGAGAGAAAGGGGGAGGGGTATACATATTTTTTTTTTTTAATTATTAGTGTTTTAAAAGGACAACCATTCCATTGCCTCACTAATTCACTTACTAGCATACTAATTCACTTACTTTTATCACATTTTTTCATATAATATACTAACTCATAATTTTAACAACTTCATTTTTTGATAATTGAATATTTGAATCAATTTGTGTGCAGCCTAACTAATGTTGAAATCCAAAAGTTTACATCCAAACAATAATAATACTATAAGCCATCATCACATCAAATAATAACTAAATATGGGACCAAAATGTGGCTGCCCATGTTGCTCTATTTTAAATAGAAAAATGCTAAAGGGGTGCACACCATATATACCCTATAACAAAATGTGTAATTTTATCATAAAATTTCGTAATTTTAATCACAAATGTATAATTACGTATTTATTACGTTAATTTATAACGAGATTACATATTTATGATTGATATTATGAAAATTTATAGTTAGAGGGTCCGCCCCATGGGATTTCCCTTCTAAATATTGCACAAAACTCAAATAAATTTCGGAACTTGTTAAAGTTTTTGTTTTTGTTTTTGTTTTTTTGTTTTTTTGTTTTTTTTTGTGTTGGATGAGGACGTTGCTTTTAAGTTCATAAAAGCCCAAACTTTTTGGTCTGGCCCAACAGGTAAACGCCCTACGTGTCATGGAGGCCCAATTCTGATTGCTGATAGCCGGCCCGTGTTCTTTGCTAAAAAGCCCCACGTGGCAGAAATACGTGTGAGATGGGGCTAGGGCTTTGAAGCATTTTGAGCTTCGGACCCACCAGTATATATACATACACAAACTCCTCCATCCATTTTCTAGGGTTTTCAGAGATTTCGAGCTCAGACCTGTTTCGCCATGGGGAGGAGTAAGTGCCTTTTCGCTCTATCGATCTATCTATATATCTATCTATCTTTCTATCTATATATATGTATATGCTTGTGGTTGCGTATATATAGATCTGTATTTGGTTTATCTATCTGAATTTTTTACTGTATGGTTTTCTGTATGTTCATAGATCCATTGAAGATTTTTTATTTTCTGATCTAAAATGTTTTTTTCTTTGTGCTTGTTGTTTCTTTGAGTCTTCAATTGAGATCCGTAATTCAATTTTCCGTGTGGTGCTGAGAAATCTGAGAGAAATGTGTTTTTTTTTTCTTCTGGCCCAAACACCAGCCCTGTTGGTTTCTGAAATTCTTATTGGATTTCATTTCACATCTTGAATCGATTTTTCCTTTTAATTTCAATTGTATTTGCATTCAGTTTTTTTCTTTCTATTGTATGGTGTTGTTTTATGTTGATCAGGTGGTTGTTTTATACTGTTTAATTGAATGAATAATTACATAATTTAGTAAGTGTCTAAAAAAGGCAAGTTTTGGAATATTTTGATGCTTTGTTCTGTTCTATGTAAATTTAGTACGGCCGAGCATATACCGTATGAACAATGTTGTTTGTAAGATTTATTATTAGGATTCTTATTATCATTTGTAGTTTTGTATCTTTTGCTTCATGGTTATGCTTTGATTATTAAGATTCAGCTTGTTTTTAGTCTTTAGGAACGTTGATTTATAATTTGCTTGACGCTGGCTAAATTAAAGCTATTGGTTTATTTGTTTGGCTTCCGAACGGATTTCATGTAGCTCATCATATTTCTGATTTTAGTTTTGCTATAGCTATATGTCTGCATTGACTTGCACTTTATGTTGGCATCTTCATTGATTCAACGTATTTATTACTAGACATACATATATACTTTGTAATTGGCTGTTCAATGTCCAACATTTTGGGTGGATTGCGTCCCTATCAAGTGTTACTTGACTTTTTTTTTCCTCCTGGAAATGCTCTTTGTATCCAGTGTTTAAAATGTATATGCAGTATGCATGTGAAGTTATAAATCTTGTCTAGATTATTTTATAAGTCTTTATTACACCAAGACCCTCTCAACTACTTGTGAATATCATCATACACCTTCATCTTTAAACCAATGCATTTATATCCCCTCAACTATAGAAATGCATCACTTTTACCCTTTTTTGCCCCTATCCACAAGGGGGCATTTGTATGGTTTTTGGGGGTGTAAATTAATATTCGCTAATAGTTGAGGGGTCTTGATGTAATTAATCCATTTTATAACAAGCCTCCAGTTTCATTGTCAAATGTCTTTTGCTGACGTGCAGTGTATGTGTTTCATTTTTTTTTCTCACTATTTTAGGACCTGCAAGGTGTTATCGCCAGATCAAGAACAAGCCTTACCCGAAATCAAGGTACTGTCGTGGTGTGCCAGATCCCAAAATCAGGATTTATGATGTTGGGATGAAGAGAAAGGGAGTCGATGAGTTTCCCTTTTGTGTGCATTTGGTCAGCTGGGAGAAGGAGAATGTCTCCAGTGAGGCACTGGAAGCTGCACGTATTGCGTGCAACAAATACATGACCAAGTTTGCTGGAAAGGATGCATTTCACTTGAGAGTGAGGGTACACCCATTCCATGTTCTGCGTATTAATAAGATGCTTTCCTGTGCCGGAGCTGATAGGCTCCAGACTGGTATGCGAGGAGCTTTTGGTAAGCCTCAAGGAACATGTGCACGTGTGGCCATTGGTCAGGTCCTCCTGTCTGTCCGCTGCAAAGATGGAAACAGTCATCATGCCCAGGAAGCTCTGCGTCGTGCAAAGTTCAAGTTCCCTGGTCGTCAAAAGATCATTGTCAGCAGGAAGTGGGGATTCACCAAGTACAACCGTACTGATTATCTTAGGTGGAAATCAGAAAACCGCATTGTTGCAGAAATTATCTTTATCTGTGTTGAATGAATAATTTACATAATAATGTTGTCATGCCATTTCTATCAATCTAAAAGAGGGAAGTTCTTACCTATATCACTAGCAATTTGTACCTTAATTTTGTGTACGTTGCTATGTAATTTATAGGATTTGAGTTTTGTGTAATTTAAAATTTGTTAAATTTAACCTTTGTGGCATGGCAGGGGATTCACCAAGTACAACCGTACTGATTATCTTAGGTGGAAATCAGAAAACCGCATTGTGTCAGATGGTGTCAATGCCAAGGTTAGTCTCCGTCAAAACACAAGAGTTAGTTTTCGTGTATTTTTTTAGCCTACCTATTTGTTCCAATCTTGTCTTGGCTGATAATCATTGTCTGATTCCTACTAGTACAACACCATTCTGTTGGATCCCTGCCACTCCAGTAGCTGCCGGGGTGGTAGATAGAATGTACTGGATAATGTCTGGTGTTTATTTTGCCAATTTTAGATCACACATTAGATAACATGATTGTTGTTTTGATTCTTGCAGCTTCTTGGGTGTCATGGACCTTTGGCAAACCGTCAACCTGGAAGAGCATTTATTAATGCATCTGCTTAGGAGATTTTGTTGACTGCTGGGCGGCGGTCTCTGGAACTGAAGGACTCCTGCTTTTTCCTTTCTGCATTTTGTTGCTGTCTATTTTGACAAATTCTCTGCTTGAATTAGTATTGTGTTGAAAACTTGGAATACTTTGCTTTAAATTTGTTTTTATTAAATGAATTTTGTTGCAATCTTGGTACTAGCAGCCAAACCTTAGATTATATATGTGGTTTGGCATGATTAATTATTGGTTTGAATCGTGGTAATTGTGTTCTGCATGCTGCTGAACTTTTTAATTGGTTGGTCCATACAGGTGTTGTATTGGCTTCATTGGTGTATGTTTTTTTAATCAATGCTTGGATATCTTGGTATGGGGGTTTTATGTTCTGTTGCTGAGAAGGGGAGTCAAATACTAATATTTGAATTGTCTTGGATGACCAGAGAATGCCGTCACTGGTTTTTAAATTGTTGCAATGGTACCAAAATCTATGCAAACTGGACTTGAATTTTTTGGTTTGCAGTGGTTTTGGTGGTGGCATTTAAGCGAGGACCAAGTTTGTTGGAGTCTCAAACAATTTTGTTTCTTGAGGAAAGTCTGGTATGGTGAAATGTAGTGTCAGTTTAAGGTTTACTTTGATGTGGGAAATAATCTCAGGAAAGTGAAAGGTGTTTTTGAAATTTAGCTTGGTTTGGGAAGAGTTGATTTAGCCTGTTTTTTTGGCCTTTTGGCTAATTTAGCCTAGCTAAATTAGTTTTGTTTGCGAAAAGTTTTTGGTTGTTTTTAGTTTGGATGTGATAGTTGTGAGAGAAAAAACTTAAAATGAGTAAATTAGTTATTGTCTTTTTGTTTATTTAGTCACTTTACCGCTTGCCAAACGGCCGTTGGAATACATGGATAGGAAAGTGAAAGGTATTTGTGGATATTTAGGTTCATGGCTCTCGTTTGGAAATGAAGGGATTTGGTATCACTCATTCTGGATTTGGGATTACTCATTCTGGACGTATATCATTTTAATTCAATTCAATATAGTATTTGTAGTTATGCATTTCAGGAATATTTGAGAGTTATGTATTAATGAATTTGAAATAACTAAGTTGAACATATTTATTTGAAATCTTTCTGTGGGTAATTTTACTTGGAGCTATGGTAGGTTTTTTTTTTTTTTTTTGATGACTCAGGTATCCCCACAGCCGAAGCATGGGACTAATCCTGAGGGCCCTGAAGTTAACGACCGGGACTAATCTTTCTGTGGGTAATTTTACTTGGAGCTATGGTAGGAATATTAAATAATTTATCAAATTTTTTACCATCACGTATGGGTTTGTGTAAATACCCCACCAATGTAAGAGTTTTGATAAAAAATTTAATAAATTATTCAAGATCTACAGCATTTTCCTTTTACTTGAACAGAAATATTAACAAATTGTGTCTCTCCTATCTCTAAGCATCCTACATTTTAGAATAGAAAAATTTTAAATATACATAAAATTCATATAATAAATTTGACAAGAATGATGTGACAGTACTATTATTATAAACAAATTTATCTTCAATAATATTTTATTTTGAAATGAAAAGTTCACAATGAATCACATCTTTATGTATGAATTTTTTATTTGTATGACAATACTAAAAAAAAAATTTTAAAAAAAAAACTTATATTTCTTTATTCTTTTTTTATTATTTTAAATTCCTTTCTGAATTGGTAAATCCAACCTATTCATTCAACAAATTGGATCTTACCCAACAATCAAATCACAATGCAACCTATTCATTCACACAAAAAAAAAAGTTCATATATTTCTAGCACATGGTGCACCAAATTAATGAGATCACGCAAAAGATTATAAATGAAACTGATCTTTTTGGGTAAAATGAAACTGATCTTACCTCCTACTTAACCAACTAAGCCAAGTCCATGTAAGTGTGCTGAGTTGATGTGCCAAGACAATTAAATAATTACTCAAAATTAAATAAGAATAATGCTTGGGACCCCCTTTTGGGGGTCACCCCCTCACCCCCCTTTGCCACGTGGCAGGGGGTGATTGGTGGAGCAGAAAAAAAAAGAAAAAGAAAAAGAAAAAGAAAAGGTAACCAATGAGAGAGAGAGGGGGTCAAAGGGGGTGGAGGAAAAAGGGGGGATGAATCATTACTCATTAAATAATAACCGCCCCACCACCACCAAAACAAGATAGAAAATGTCAAGAAAGTGCTTCTAGAACAATCACTTGTCCATGGTTACATGAACCCAAGGCAATTTACCAATTGAGGGAATAGAACTCCATTAGAAGTCCATGAGCAGAAACCCATTACTATATATATTCCATATATAACTCTTGATAATATTATATCCCAAAAATGGCATCTTACATGGAGATGTAGTTATATCCTCTAGCCAACAAATGTTCTGAACTAGTTTGGCTTTCATTTTTCTCCCCCCATTAAAATCCACCGGTTCTGAAAATTGCTGGCTCCTTCATCGTTTCTTCTGCTTTCTGCCTTTCTTTGATCTTGTTAACCGTTTTGGTTCTTTCTCATTGTTCAGATCAGACTCTTTTGCCCCATTTGATGCATTCTCCGCGTCACTGTTTACTTCATCATCAACGGCCGTATCATCTATGTCACTGGAACAGTTGGATGCTCTGACTATGTATACCTGCAATAGACATGAATTTTTTTGTTTCAGCCATACTACACGCACAGAAAGAATCAAACACAGAATACACATATGTGAGACAAAAAATGTTTGCAATTACAGATGTGAACATGTTCGCAATTACAAATGCAAACATTTTGTCTCACATTTGTACATTGTGTTTGATTCTTTCTGTGCATATAAACATTTTGTTTTTGTTTCCATGAAGCACAAAAAATTTATACTAAAATTAAATATTGCTTAACAAAATCAACAAAGTCGTGCCACAAAAGGACTAGAACAGGAAACATAAGTAACAAGTTTCCCCATTGCAAGCAACATTTTATCACTCATAAAATACAGAATATCAGGAGGACTAAATTTACTTATTTTCAGTATTGTTTTCCTCATCTGGAGACGCATGGAATTACAACAGAAAAGAAAATCTGTATGGAGAGGAGCAAATGCAATATAGTTATTATAATTTTAGTACTTATGGAGACACATGTAACCTAAAGAAGTAACAAAAACTTGACTGTGGAGAGTTGAATTTTGTTGATTTTATAAATGCACCACAAAAAAATTTCTGGGACGCCTTAATCCTAAATTTAAATTTTGTTGATTTTCTTTGAACACTCCCATTAATGCCCACCTTACACACACACCCAGCTTGTCAACACCACCTCCTCTCTTTTCCTCCCCGCCGCATGCCACCCCCTTCCCTACCCGATGCCCCTCCCCCTCCTCCTCAAACCCTAACCCCACCACCTACCATCACCAGCAGACACACACACAAAGAGAGTCACGCAGAAGGGGGAGCAGAACAAAAAAGGGGTGTGGCGGTTTATAGAAGCAGAGAGGAGGTGGAGGTGACGAGAAGGGAAGGGGAGGGCGTTGGGGAGTCACACAGGTAGGAAGAGGGGGCTGTGGAGGAGGCGAGGCGTCGGGGTGGTGCCAGACGGTGGGGAAGGTTTGGAGTGTGGCATAAGGGGCTGACAGAAGGCTAAGGCTTTTTCCCTTCTGACAATATAACTTGGGGTATAAAGATGGGGTCTCCAACAATTTTTTTGAAGTGCATTTAGAGACTCCCTGTAATTTCATATTATCTGACCATTATACCATTCAACCTCCATGTTATATTTTCAATACAAAAATGATCATGTGATCAATGGTTGCCCCACAAATTTTCTTTTGCTTTGTTAGAGATTCACTACAATTCGAAGGGCATTTTAAAGAAATTTCTTATGCAAAAAAGACAATGAAAATCTCCCAAACTAGACTCAATTTTTCTAATGGTTGTGTCTAAAGGAATACTACTATCGTGACAATTTGGTCTCAATAAAATACATCAAGGCAGATAAACATATTGCATATTGTTAGGTCCCTACTTGTTGCCAATTTTGCGAACAAACTTGGTTTAGTCGAGTTGTAATTTTTCCTAGTTTTTTGGTCTTCCCGCTCAGGTGGGGAAAGCTACGCTCGAGCAGCAATCTCACACTCTCAGTAGTTTGGCTTGTCTGCAAAAGTACTGGGAGGTGTGTTTTTACGCTGGAGCGTATTTTCCAACGCTCGAGCGTAGACCCTGTTAGACACACGCATTTTAGTGACACCACTCGAGCGGCCATTCCTGCGCTCCAACGAGGTTCGCGTATCTGACTGCTATAAAGCTGTGTTTCAGTCAGAATTTAGGGCATGGCTTTCAATTTCTTGTTTTGGGTTTTAGGGTTCTCTTATGAAGGTTATTTGCTAGTTTTCCTTTGATTTCTTTGTAAATTTATTCATGGATCAGGAGAGTTAAATCAAAGGGTTGTCGGTTTGTTTTTATCAATACAAGAGTGTTGTTCTTCGGTGGATTTCGGAGATTTAAGCGTGGAGTATTCGAAGGGGTTCGAAGCTGTGCGCGGTCATTGATTTGACATGGATGTTGTGGATTCGACATCAAGCTGGTCAATTCTGAGACGAAGACGCTGGTGAAAGAGATACAGATTGTTGAAGACAAATTGACAAAGTTTGGGTAATTTGTTTTGATAAATTTGTATTCTTTCTTTCTTTTATAGTGGATTGATTAGTAGCATGTCGCCCGCGGTTTTTTAATCACAATTGGAGGTGCTCCAGTTATGATTTTTCCACGTAAAAATCGGTTGTGTCAATTTATTGATTTTGAAACAACAATTTAAATCGCTTTCGTACGTTCTAGATGATTTATATTGTTAGTTTTAATTGTTTGGGAATTGTTGAAATTAATTCTGGTCTGAATCACGAATCGCTTAGGTTTTTCACATATATTAAAATTGACACTCCTAGGATTAACTCCTCAAGATTGATAAAATGTGAACACAACAAAGCAAGTTGTGACTTGGGAATAGGAGAAGTCCAATGGCATTTATTTCAACATTTAGAAACATATTTTTTGAAAATGCATGCTTGGATGAACATATGTAGAGTTCATACACATGCAACAGATCAATCTTTAAATGTTATAATATGACCAAAGCATTAGTTATTCTTGGTTGTGAAGACAACTAAAATGAATCATTTTCTTCTCATGAAAAGGCATATACAAATGCATAATAACAAAATAGACATCTCTATCAAAACCATCTAGAAGGCCATTGATGATCTTGGCATCAGAATTTGCACACAAGGCTACAGTGTTCAAAAATTATAAATAAATTTAGTTTAAAATATATAATTATAGAATTAAAACAAGCATCACACATAAATCACAGATTTTTAAGACAGTAACCCAGTGCATAAAGATAAGTCATCTTGCTTGGAAACCTAGTCTGCCTTTTTAAAAGTATGTTGCAAAAAAGACGTCCATTAATACATGTCGGGACATAATAGCAAGAAACAAGAATTACTATCAAACATATGGTAAATGAATGTCATTAATGGAATCCTACCTTAAATCTTGCAGGTTCAATCAATTCAAACACCAGAGCATCACCGTCATCCAACTTATGATCCAGAGCAAATGCTCTCCATCCACCGCTAAGCCCAGTTCTCTTGCCAATGTAAACAGAGTCATATTCTGCACCATTTTCATCTTCCAATACTATATCTACTATCGTTTTAGGAAGATGATCCTCACAGAATTTAGAAGGAAGTCCCTTAACATCATGGCAAATTAATTTAGCACCAAAGGATATGTATAGCAATTGAAAAATGTAACATGTGCAATATATCTAGATTCTAGACAATATATGTACATATCGTATAAAACTACATTATAGGAAAATCAATGGCTAAGAAAAATTGTTCTACTGAAACTTACCAACCAAAAACAACTATAAACATGAGATCGAACCATGGATTTGACAAAAGATGGATTTCCCGATGTTAAATTGCTTTGAATCTTCTCTGCACACTTAAAAGCTTGAGCTCTTTCTTCGTAAGAAGGAGTTTTGACTTCATGCAATGGTCTTGCTAGATAGCTGGAAATTCAATTCTACTATTACTAACAACTAAATTGGAAATATATAAGACAACACTATGTTCACAAATATTGATGCAACCTTGCCCATGATGAACTTATCTTTGATCTCTTTCGCAAAGGTGGAAGCCCTATGTCAACCTGAAATGAAAATTAAAAAAACTTAGCTTAAAAACTGTTGCTAGTTAGCAATAGTACATAATAATAGGAGCAAGACCATGTCAAAGCTCAAAGAATTTGTAAAAAATTCTTAAAAATGATACTATGCATTTCACTCAAACTGTGAAACTGGTTTTTGATCCCAAAAATTGTGATTCTTTTAATTTCATTTGTCTTTCAAGTGTTTGTAGTTCACATTCTTAATATTGATAAGATTACAAATTATTAAGTGCTAGTACTAACATCATCACGATATGAAGGAATTGGATTGCGTGCACGAGAAGAACGTCTTGGCTCTAGCATGTAGATATTTTCTGATTTGGGTTTTGAATAGCGTTGCTGCAACATAAATAAAATAAAATAGAATAAAGAAAGTTAAGAAACACAAATAGACAAAACCACTAATGCCAAAGCTAAAAGGACTGAAATTATAGCCATAAAATCAAAGGTTGGGAAAGAACTCATATTTACCACAGGCTTCTTGTCAGAACTTTTGAGATCAGATAAACTCTTTGAAATCTTCGAAATCCCTAAATCCTTCAAGGAAAAAAATTTGATAAATTAACCACAATGTTGTCTAATGTTAAAAAGGTAGATGTCAATTAAGCTTTAAGAAGATGTATTGCTCCTCGATTATCCAAGAAACAATGGTTTCTGAGCAATGCTATACATAATCTCATTTCTTACCTCCTTTTCTCCCTCCTAGACACAAAACAATGGGGTCCACATTCATAAATGCATATAGGCCTACTCATTTGTGCCTTGGAGTAAGAAGAGGAGGTAAGAAATCGGATTATCTGTACTATTTTCCTTCCTTTTAAGAAGAATAGATCACTTTTGTGACACTAATCATTCATTCTTAAGTTAGAGCGGTAGCTCATAAACCATTCAACTACTACAAATCCTGATAAGTAAGTAAACATTTACTAACAAATAAAAGAAAAGGAAAGCAAAGGAAAGATATATATGTGTGTGTGTGTATTAAGGCCTCGTTTGGGAAGTAGCTATTTTAGAGACTTTTTGGATTTTTGGCTATTTTAGGTCTCGTTTGGCAAGTGGCTATTTTAACCAAAAAGCCAAAAAGTAACTAAAAAAATCAAAAAGCCAACAACTCATACCAAAAAGTCAAAGATTCCATTTTCTCTCTACTTTTTACACATCTTTTCGTAAAAAGTCAAAAAATATCCCAAACATACTAGTTTTTTTTACATCACATTTTAGCCAAAAAGTCAAAAAGTTACTAAAAAAGCCTGTTCCCAAACGAGGCCTTAGTAGGCTATTTTAGTTTTTGTGTTTGAGAAGATGAGATGGATTTTTATTTGAGTTGTTGTATTGAAAAATGTGTTGAAATGATGTTTGAAGTTAAAATGACAAATTTGTCCCTAAAATTACAATTTTTTAAATTGATGTAAAGGGACAAAATCGTAATTTACCAAGTGATGTAACAATTTGTCAATGTGACAGCTGCACCTATTTTATTTTATTTTTTTTAATAAAAAGGGTTGAACAGTGGAGCTTTTTAGCTTATTTTTAATTTGGGACTATATTAGCCTGAACCCTTGTTTCCCAAGCAGCGTCTAAGTGTCCATTCAACACTACATGACTACCAAGTGCTAGAACTCCTGAGTGCGGGTCAAAACTATTTTTCTTAGCCATGCACTAGTTAAGATGATAGTATAACTAGCCTAACCAATTTGAGCTTATAATGAGATGAAGAAAACAAAATCCACTGGCTCTGTTTGGAAGAGCTTCGGTGTTTGCACATGGTGTTTGATTATGGCTTTCAAAAATTAATTTCACACTCACTTTTGAAAACTCGATTTAAGGTGAGAAAATTTGAGCTAACCAGTCGTCCCACCAGACGTCCGACCAGTTGCCCAGAACAGTGCATAATTATTATTATTATTATTTTTTTTTTTTGGCAATTGACACATGTTAATTTTTATATATTCAATAAAAAATATTTTCTAAATTTTTAAAAAAAATTTATGAGTTCTGAATAGAATTTTGAGTTGTGTGTTTGGTTATGAATTGTAAGTTTTTGTATCAAATATCATATGTCACATTAAAAATTCCCCACTCAATTCAAAACTCTTTTCAAAACTCATTCAACAAACAAATTTTCCACACTCAAATCATAATTCCAAAACTCAAAAACTCAAAATACAACTCTATTCTCAAATCATATTTAGAGCACTCTACCAAACGCAACCAATATTTTTCCATCTAAAAACATATTCTAGCATTGTAATTAACCTGTGCATGCAGACGTACAAAATACATACATGTAGGATACATATGAAAGTAGAAGAATTAATAAATATAAATGAAATTGAATGAGAAATATTTACTACTAAATGATAAAAGAAATACCTCGAAGCGTTTTTTATTGTCTTCAACTCGTTGCTTGCGAGCTTCCTCATAAGTGTTGCCACTTTTGTTGGCCATTGCTTGCAGTAGTCCAGATACAAGATATCCAATTGTTTGTCTAAGGCATCCCCGAAATACAAGTAAAATTTTCTTCAGTACAGGATTTAGAAAGGCTGTTTTGCTGAAAATTTAAACTAAAAAGAAAATTGTGTAAATGATCTTAATCACAACCTGTTACTAAATATGACATCTTAAGCTTCAAGTAATATCTTATTGAGTCAAGACTTAAATCACAAGTATACTGCAATATAAAATAGACAGCCTAATTTCAATTCTTTGATCTGGGAGTCCTTCGTTCATCCTTTCAATCTATTGGGTGGACACTCTATCAGAACTCTAGTCCTTAAAAGTCAAGTCGTTAAGCTATAGGGTGTGTTTGGTTTGGTTTTGGGAGATAAATTTTCAAAAAAAATCTTGGGGAATGGAGTAAGAGTTTAGAAATTTTTTTGGTTTGTTTGGTTGTATATTTTGGAAATAGTTTTGAAGTATAGAAGTTTGGGATAATTTGATAGTTTGTTATAGTTGAGTAGATGTGTGTGAGAAAAAAAGTGATTGAAAAAGAGAGAGGAGAGAGAAAAGTGATTGATTGATGTGTAGAAGAGAAGGTGATTTTGGAAAAAAAATTCAAAAAATTTCCAACCAAACAAAGCCATAGTCTCTTCTCCCCTCTCCTTAGCATCTGTTAGAGCAATCCAAGGTTATGCAAAGGTTCAAACTTTACATAAAACTTTTGTTGCTCCAATAAAAATAGTCAAAGAAATACGAACACTTCTAAAAAGGTGACATATCGTGTCAGACATTGACAAGACAAGACACTTGTTGCATACTTCCCAACATTTGTTAAACACGTCTAAACATGTTTTATTATTTTAAAAAAATTTCTAGACTCAAACACGCATTGGATGCTCGGGGAAAACATTTGTCTATCGCTTAGATACACATGAAACACATTTATAAGTTTGAATAAAATAATTTGGAATTCTATGATTAAAAAAAAAGGTAAATTCATACCGATTCTCCTCCTTTAGACTAAAAACATTATTTTTTTAAAGTAAATATTTATATATATGATATATAATAATTGCTTGTCCTTATATATGTTATATAATAAATATATAAAATTATTTTATTTGTTTATAATAATTGTTTAGCTAGAGGTAAAGTTCTCCCAGATTCAGAGACACAGGCAGCTACTCCTTCAAAAATTGGGAATCGAAAGGATGGGATGCAAAATAAGGGCCTACAATTGTTCATCAAATGAGACCGAGAACCCAAAGGATCTATCAAAGAGTGAGAGAGACTGACTAGACTATAGTCAACCACCTTTGAAGGTTGCAAAGCCTTTAGAGTGCCCTTGAATGGAAACAACTTGAACTGACGACTTCCTACACTTCAACATGACACTCTCTTTCGGTAAGTTATATCCCTCCTCTAACTTCATTGAGAAATAGAATTGACTAATCCTTAGTCAAAGGGTCAAGAAACTTAATGGCACTATTCTTGAACAACTTGGAGCCGGGCCCTCTTTTTGCACAATTACAGAAATGAAAATAATGAGAAAAATCATATTCAATTATCAGTTGCCCATATAAAAAATAGGATTGACTATGGATTAGTGTTACCAGAGAACTCTATTACCCTAGCGAATTACGTTTTGGTATGTACGTCCCAAAATATTGTACACTTTCATTCCAAAACGGTAAATTTAGATATCTAAATGATCCCAAAAAAATTCAATTTATCTCCTAAAGGTTTCCTTAGAGAAATAAATCAAATATAATGAACCAAAATCTAAGGTGAGTGAAATTTTAACAAAATAAAATGTCAAAGATAGGTCATAATGCTCATAGAAATGTGTTACTATATGATTAATTTGGAGAAAGAAAACTTACAATTCAATGAATGTCTAATGTTAAAAGAAAATTACTCTAGAACTATCTTAAATTCTTATAATATAATTCATACAAGTCTACTCCTATTGTACCATATTTTAGAGCACGTGGTGTACCACGTTTCCGTTTTTGTTCCACGTACCAAAATGATCCACGTTTCAGGTAACATAGCTATGGATTCAAGCCATAGCAACCTTCATAGTGTTTTAAAAATGGTTTGAAACGGCAATGTAACACTGTTACATAACCATATGAGCAGTCACCGTCACCGCTATCCGTTACAGTTATAACAATGTGATTGAATTTCAAAAGGGAACAGCCACCATCGTCATGTTATACACATAACAAACAGACTGTTAGACCACCATTACAACCATTACTGCCATTACGTAAGTGTGGTAACATTTGTCACTTTTAAAAGCCAATTTTTTTGCTCATTTTGTGCTCTTAAAACTTTTGTTTTTATATTTATTTACTAACATTAAAAATTAACACAAGTTTTATTTGTAGTTGTAACTTGTAAGGTTTGTGTTGTGTAAAACTTGTATAACTTGAAAATATAAATCAAATGACTAGTTTTTAAATAGAATAATTGTGATAGGCTAAAATACAATAAATAAATGAATATGAAGCTAAAAAATGGAGTGTGATTATCATTGATCTAAAACAAATGGTTGGTTTTATTCTTATTTTTAAATTTTACTAATTTTATTATTTATTTAACATATATAACCTTAAAATTTGAAACACAACATAATATTACAAATCTGTAATAATAACAAAATAAATAATATAAAAGTGGTGTATTTTGAATTTATGACATGTGAAATCAATAACTATTGAAAAAAAAAAAAAGAAAAAAAAAGGTCAAAACTCTCTTCATAAAAACTTTAAAGTAGTACAAAAATTTTGGAAAGTAATATTTCAACATAGAAGACCAAAAAAATTACAATTAGTACACACTAGAAACTTTAAGCCAAAAAGATTCTCACCCATTTGTAAATCTTTCCCCAATTTCCCACTTACATGATATTTCTCCTAAAATTTCATACATATATTGAATCATGATTAACAAATATACTAAACCTTTCAAAAATTATTTTAAACCCCAAGAAATGTGATTTTGAAATAAAATATATATATCAGTAAGTTTTCGCAATGTTGTGCAAAAAACAGAAAATTTTCACAACTCTGGTTGTTGCAACCTTACCCTACGCCTGTTACACCCTTCAACGGCATCACCACTACAGTTATTGTTAATGAAACGGCACGCATTACTGGAAACCTTTCCCCCACATGTCATGTTTTACATTTTTAAAAAAATTCCGTGCCAGTGTGTTTGTGTCGTGTCACCTGTCCTAAAACAAAATAAATATCAACATTTCAAACCCAGATTACACTTGATGGAACTTATTGTCAAATTTTTTTCTTTTTATTTTTTTGTAAATCATTTTTCTTAACAAGCAGCTTCAATAACCAGTCAAACAGCCAATCTTCCCCCAAAATCAGATCATAATGCTACAATGACCAAAGTTAGATAGCAAAATTTTCATAGCATCTCCAATGCATTGGTGACATATCATAGGTATCCAAAATTGCTACTCAAATTTGGTCGCTAAAGTACACGCAATTTAGTCCCCATTTGATGAGGTTTGAACGCAGATTAGCTACAGACCTGTCATTATTGCGCAAAATGACTATCCTCAAATTCAAACCCACATCCTTAAAGAGAACCCTTGTTTAAATTTGATCACTAAAACCAAATAAATACATAAAACAGAATAGTAAAATTTGACGGCATTTTTGCTTTGCTCTATTTAGGTGAAGAAACAATGTCATGGTTACCAACAGCAACAAATTGATCCAGTAGTCCGAGCTCTAAGGCTGCAACTCTAAGGCTAAGTCTGCTTGAATCTTGAATTTAAAATTTATAAAGGAAACAAAAAATGGGAAGAGAAGTGAAAAACAAAATATATATATATATATATATATATTTCACTTTGTTTCTCTTTACTGTTTCACAAATTACTCAACATATACAAAATCAAGCTAAGATAACCAGTAGCAAAACATAACAACTCCATGTATATGCTCAAGCGCGCACACACAACACAAAACAACACAACACTCTAAAATATACTGAAGCAAAAATAGAATAAGACAAAAACATTGCTAGATGATAACCAGAGCAGAGTATCAATTTTTTTACGAGTTGATTGCATAGTTCAAAACCTGAAAAAATTTATGAAGATTTCAGCTGAATGATAGATGAGGGGGTTGTTAAATCAGAGACATCAAACCTTGGATTATTAACTCCCGATCTGTCAAAGTGCTCTGAGGAGGCTGTGCTCGATGATACCACCACTGCACTCTTTCGTTGCAGAGAGAGAGAGAGAGGGAGGGAGAGGAGGGGAAGCGCCGAATTTGAAATTTGATATTGGGAGACAGACAGCTTGGAATTCGTGAGTTTTATTTAAAATGCACCCGTCAAATTTATTTGAGATATGTTTTTTTTTTTTTTTTTTTTTTTTTTGGGCTATTTTTTTTTTTTTTTTTGAGTAATATTAGAAATTTCAAATATTCTACCAAATATTCTACGGACTCATACTGTATGGGTCCCACTTTTGATAGAATTTTTGACACCTCTAACATTTTTATTTTTATTTTATTCATATTTGAGATATGTTTGGGACCTTTTCTGGTTTTTTTATTTTATTCATATTTGAGATATGTTTGGGACCTTTTCTGGTTGATGACTCTCTATTTCATCTTGGTATGGGGTTTATTTATTTATGTATGTGCGAGTCTAGGTGGGATAAGAGTAAGGATTGTGGGAGTCGTGCATGTGCGGAGGTTTCTATTATAATTAAATTTATGAATAAAGCTTCCCGACTTTCAGTGGGGGTGTTGGGGTCGTGTGTGTCGAGTCGGGATTGGCCAAAAAAAAATTTTTTTTTTTTTTTTGTTTTTAGCGAATGGCGTGCTGTCACGTCACTGGGGGTCTGAAGCAAGGTTTTTTTTTTTTTTTTTTTTTTTTTTTTTTTTTTTTTTTTGAGTAATATTAGAGATTCCAAATATTCTATCAAAAGTTTTATCAAATGTCTCATATGGAACCCATACTATATGGGTCCCACACCCATGTGAGACATTTGGTAAAACTTTTAATAGAATTTTTGACACCTCTAACATTTTTATTTTTATTTTATTCATATTTGAGATATGTTTTGGACCTTTTCTGGTTGATGACTCCCTATTTCATCTTGGTATGGGGTTTATTTATTTATGTATGTGCGAGTCTAGGTGGGATAAGAGTAAGGATTGTGGGAGTCGTGCATGTGTGGAGGTTTCTATTATAATTAAATTTATAAATAAAGCTTCTGACTTTCAGTGGGGATGTTGGGGGTCGTGTGTGTCGAGTCAGGATTGGTCAAAAAAAAATTATTTTTTTTTTCTTTTGTTTTTAGCGAATGGCGTGCTGTCACGTCACTGGGGGTCTGAAGGTGGTGTTTGGGAAGCAAGCTGGGGGCTAAATTAGCCACATAAGGACAAAAATAGCTTATTTAGTCAAAAAAGGACAAAAGATGCACAGAAAAGAAAAGAGGCAACAAACACTGGGCAAGCAAAATTTACGAAACTACCCCCATGAAAGAGGGGCATGCGTCATTTCACACAAAAAGTAAAATAAAAAAGAAAAAATTATTTAAATTTAGTTTCAAGTTATGTGTTTGGTTATGAGTTTTAAAAATAAATTATTGCTTGTGTTTTATTTTATATGTTTGGTTACGATTTGAGTGTAAAGTTGTTTTTAAATTTAAAATATTAACATTTTTATTTTTAATATTTTAAATTAATTGAATATTTAAATTATTTAAATTTTTTTGTTTTAAATATTACTTTATTTAAATATTATTTTTATTTTACTATTAATTGAATATTTACATTATTTAAATATTTAAAATAAAATTAAAAGTAAAATAAAAATTAAAACGCAAATTAATGTGAATGAATAAAAAAATGACAAAATCGTAAATTTTAAAAAAATAACGACAAAAATACGCCTCATTCAAAAACATTTAAAAAAAAAACATGAAAACATAAATTACCATTCGCCACGTAATTTACAAATAAATAAATAAATAAGTTATTGTATACCAATAAAAATAAAGAAGGCAAAAAACGTAAATTAAAAAACAAGAACTAATTAATGTATAAAAAAAAAAAGAGACAAAAACATAAATTTAAAAAAAAAATTAAGCAAAATATGCCAAATCCAAACCAAAAATAAAATAAAAAAACAAAACAAAAATGTACGCAAAAAACGCCAAATCCAAACCCAAAATTAAAAAATTATAAAAATATAAGCAAAATATGCCAAATCCAAAACCAAAAAAAAAAAACTTTAAAAAAAAATTAAGCAAAATACGCCAAATCCAAACCAAAAAAAAATAAAATAAAATAAAAAATTAAGCAAAATATGCCAAATCCAAACCCAAAATAAAAAAATAAAAAAATAAATGTAAGCAAAATAAGCCAAATCCAAACCCAAAATTAAAAAAAAAAATTAAAAAAAAGCCAAAAAGGGCATATTGGTAATTTAACAGGAAGACACCTCACCAAAAAGTCAAAAAGCCAAAAAAATCAAAAAGTCCTTCCCAAACCAGGCTTTTTAGCCCCAGACTAAAATAGCCAAAAAGCCAACCCACTTCCCAAACGGAGGCTAAGGGTTGGTTTTGGGTGTCCTAAAAAAGTGCACTTTTTGTCTTTTTAAGAAACGATGTGCAGAAAAGTAGAGAGGTGATGTGATGGAAAAAAGATAAAAAGATGGATTATATAGGTTATGCCAAACCTAGCCTAAATTTATTTAGCTTTCGTTTTGGATGTGTGTTGACATTTTAACTTTTTGATTTTTTTGATTATTTTAGTTTGAGGTTAAAATTTTTTGTTTGGGATAGATTTTTTAGTTTTTTAAATTTTTGTAAAAGAAAAAATAAAATGATTTTGGTTGAAATATGATATTTTATTTTATTAGATTAAAAAACTTTTTTTTTTTTTTGTGTGACTATTTTAACCCAAGAAAAGAATGTCAAACATAGTCTTAAAATATGAATTGTTTTTATAATTTAAAAAATTATCAAAATTTTTTTTTTAATAAAATTAATTAAAAAATAAAACTTTTAACTACTCTCGTAGATAATAAAATTATCTAAATTATTAATTAAAATAAATTTTTAATATCATTTAAAATTATTAATTAAATTGATGATTTATTAATTAAATTGACCATTGATTTATTATAAAATTAAAATTTTCGAAAAGTAATATATAATTTTCAAAATTACATAAGATAATTTGTATTTTAAGTAAGGGAATAAAACTCAAAAGATGTATTTGTAATTTATCTTAACATTTTTTACTTTAACGGCATCATTGGTTGGCCAGTCATATATTGGTGCTATTTGGTGCAGTTTATTGTTAGTTAAAAGTTGATAATTAGAAAGTTAAAATCAAAAGCACTCCTTCTTCATCTTTTAAATAATTAGTTTTTTTCAACTTATTTAAACTATTTCAACCTGAAAAGCTGTAAATAGAATCTGTACCAAATAGTCTGATATAAATTTTCAAATTAAAATAAACAATAATCACCCTATAATCTATAGCAAACACCCCTAGCCATTGGTCTTCATTCTAAAGAAAAAGAGGGGAAAAAAAGTCAGATTACAAAGACCAAAATAAAATAAAATAAGTGTTGTGTTATGCATTGTAGGCCCACTCAAAAATAAAAGAAACAAACTTTACACCAATGTGTTCCTAAAATGAGGCCCCTTTTGTCTTCCTTTTCAGATGCTAGTTGTCATTGTCCCCCTAAAAATATCTCTCTTCTCTCAACCCTATTTTTTGGATCAGAGATGATCCAGAACCCACTTAGATCGACTCCCACCCCAACCATATACACGTAGGGTCAATGAGAGGATAAAAAAAAAAAAATGAACCAATCAGTATTCGCTGGGTGGTAGGAGTCACTCTTAGTGGGGTCTCACTCTTTTTTCTTTTTGGATATGAGAGGTTATTGTCACAGCACTTTGTTGTCACGTTTCATTTGTCATTTTAATTTTATTTTGATAATTTAAATTATTTATATTTATAAAATTTGTCAAGTATATTATTTATATAAAAAATAAGATTAATCCGATATACTTAACTCAACTATCTTTAAAAAAATTATTAAAATTATACAAACTGTTTATTTTTGTAAATATAAATGTTATCTTGTTATGAACTACAAATGTCTAATTGACTTAAGCTATATTTGGCATGCCCAATTAGACAAAAATAGTCATATAAGACAAAATTGAATATTTTAGTCAAATAGAACAAAATATCACATTCAAATCATAATTATTTTATTTTTTTTCTCACAAAAATAAAAAAAAAAGCCAAAAAAATATATCACAAACGAAATTTTTTAGCCGCAGACTAATAGTCAAAAAGTTAAAAAATCAACCTACATCCCAAACGAAGACTTAAATTTTTTTATAAATGTACTCAATAAATCTCACAATATAAACAATTTAGTTTATTAATATATTTGAGAAACGCTCCAACAAACTCACAACACGATCTGTGCCCACAAGACACAGCCCAGCACCCTCCCATAATCCTATTTTCTAGGCTTCTTACCGTTTTTTGTCCGGACAAATTTTACTTTGCAAATTAAAGAAAAATGTGTTAGCTATCATGTTTTTTTTTTTTTTTGTTTAAATTTATTTGTCTATCATGTTTTTGTTTAGACTCGGTTTATTTTGACATAGAATTTTTAAAAATATATATTTTTTACTTGTTTTTTATTATTTGATTAGATACAAAGTAAGTAAGATATTTTTTAACCAAAAATTAGCTTCCATAAAAAGCTCCATAAGTGCATCTCGACAATCCTCCTCAATTTTTGAAAAATGTTTGAGGGCCCTAATTTTTGTGACTTAAATGGCTCAAATTTGCCAAAACGACGTCGTTTTGACAATTTTAATGTTGTTTTGTACTCAAAACGACGTCGTTTTGGCAAATTCGAGCCATTTGAGCCACAAAAATTAGGACCCTCTACCATTGTTGTCAATTTTTTCTCAAATTTTAGCTAAAAAGTGTACTTTTAGGAAACTACTTTTTCAATTGTCATCTCCAACAATGTTTCCTTTTTTTTTATATATATTTTAAATATTTTAAAAATATTTTCTCTTTTTCTTTTTTTTATTAAAAATATTTTTTCAAGCTCTCTTCTCTCTCCTCCACCATTGGAGAAAAAGATGAGGGATGAGAGCAAAAATAATTTTTAATTATTGAGAGTGATTAAGCCCTTCATAAATGTAGAGAGCCAAAAATTCACTCCCTTAAATAGAGTTAAGTAGGAAGGCTGTTAAAGAAAATTATTTTGTATTTCACTCCTTCAAATAAGAAGAAAGTGAGGATGCTTTG